CAGACTTGGACGCGCAGTGTGGGAAATGGCAGTCCGCGAGTTGCTGATGAACACTGTACATCTCAAATCGCCATTGTACGACGTGATGGACGAGTTACGATACTCTGGAGCCCACAAGGTACCTACACAGGGAATGGGGGCTACTAGTCTGTTTACCGTGACATTCAGTCGCGCGGGGGTTTCCGTAGGGCACAGAGGGCGACGAATTGCATTAGTCCTCAAGCGGGAAATCTTGTCAATACCCTTCAGCCTGCCGACCTTAGCCATACGGGTACTTTGGGCGTGACGGCTTTTCCTTTGGATCTACAGTCCTCGTTCACTACACGTGCCATCCCGCTACAACCCGGTCAACCAACCACTGTGACGCAGATCATCATCAGCTCACCAAACCAGGCATGGCCGCGTCTGCGAAGGTTCGCCAGTCGCGGCTTTCGGGAAGATGACACTCAGTTGCCTTGCCCAGATAACAGACTCGAGAAAGTGTCCGAAAGGCGGTGACCAAAGTAGCCAAACGCCGGTCTTCGTGATCACCTCGCGCAAACGAGAGGGTGTGCTGGACCCGTTCGCGCGCTGGCGTGCCGGCCTACAGAAACGACGTTCTGCAGGAAGACGGCTGCTCACAGGCCCAGGATTGCCTTTTTCCTTGACTTACGTAGGGCATCAACAATCACACCAGCCGGCTGATTGTTGGGCAGCTCCCCTCCCCCGCTTCATCTGTCGTGGCCGACGACGAACAGTGATGGGCACTCGCATGAAGGGTGCATCCAAAAAGAAAACAATCATGAGATCTTGATCCCTCGTTGTTGATTGATTGATGGCTGCAGCTCTTGGCTGTTGCTTGCTGCTCTGTTTGCGCATGCCACTGATTTCTATGTGCCTGTGGAGGCCGTAAATGCAAAACCCCTTTCCCCGTTTCCCAGTCCAGCCTTGAAAGGCTCAACGATATGTGACCTGTCCGATCTCTTTGGCAGACACAACCATGGCGATGAAAGTGTGGTTTCCTGATAGCAGATAGCAGGAGAGCAATAAACAAAGACAGGAAAAAAAAACGCTCTGAACGCCTCGACCCTTTCCTGACCACCGAAGCCCCCCCAAAAAGCAAGACTATCCAAGATGAGAACTCCCCTGGCCCCTGAGAGAAGGGTAAAAACAGCAGAACGACGAAGCAAAGTATTCCTCGTCGCTGGCCCATTCCCCACAAACTGAACAAAATGAAACAGAAGTACAAGCTGTCTCGCAACAGCGTTGAGTTCCCCTGGTGCCGTTCCCTTGTGCTTCCCTACTGGTCCTCACAGCATCGCAGATGACTTACCCGGGAACCTGTGCCTCACTCGCACCTCTTGCCCCGAAGAGATGACGGGCGGAAAAAGCGACAGGTGCCAGTCCTGCAGCATGAGAAGGGGCCATTCTTTGGATTCTTTGGATACGCACAACGGGGCAATCATTCGTGAAGAACGGCGCCGGTACGACCGCACCAGATAGAAGCGCGGCGGGGGAGTATGCGATGATGCGAGGAATGACAGACTGGTGACATACCCCCCCGTAGTATCAACCTGTGACTGCTGACGCTAGGCTAATGTGCCGAGACGGTGCTGGGGATAAAGGCCGTGTCTAGTCTTTTCCGACTTTCTTTTTTTGTCGCCAATTTTCGCCATTTGATCTTTTTTTTAGGCGTTGTTCAGGGGCCGCTCTAGAGGCCAATGGTCTGGTTGTTACGGCGGATCATCTTCTCCCAAGGCTGAGTCTGTCGGGGTTTGCAGTGGCCTAGAGACTTCTGTTAGTCCTGTACGCCCACAGTGATAAGGATGGCGACAGTGGGCGACTTCGGGATGTGGGGGGGCTGTGTTCGCTATCAATCAAAGCATAGACTTCGTTCAGTGCACCTGCAGGTGTGGTGGGGGGGGCTTGAAATTTGGGGTGATGGTAGAGATTGATGGACAGTATGGCTGGGGAGAGGGATTCATGTCGTGCTGGAGGAATGACTGAACAGGGGTTAGAGAGAAGGATGGACGTACTGCACTGTTCGTCACCCCTGTGTGAGACGGGTCAGTCAAAGCTTCCAAGAGGAGCAGAGCCAACACGGGGAGGGGGAAAGGATCTTTACCTGTACTCATAATGACTGACACTCAGAGGGCACCTCAACTGTGTCCTAAGATATTCCGGGCACCATCTCGACACGATCCAGCGGAAGTGGCCGCAGTGGAACTCCCTCTATATCCTCATCAGCAACCCCCCTTCTAGGTGGAGGATCAAGATGTCCTACCTGGATCCAGTCACACATGTTGTTCGGTGCTCGTGTGTTGTTGTAGTGAAGTCTGCTGACGTGTTTCTGCTCTTGTCGTCTCGTGCCTCCAAATAGAGGCGTCCCGGCAGAGACAAGCGTTTTGGTGAGCGATAGAAGTGCTAGCTGGTCGTCCTGGCGGGGGGCGTGGCGGCCTGTTGATATGAGGAGAGGGGCGTTTGTTCTTCGGCTGCAGATGTTTTGCTGGTGCAGGCGCAAGTGGTAAGACTGCTAGAAATCACGCCGCCGTCAGCGAGGGAAGCAGCGGATATTTGTTTCGGGTGTTGTAGTTTGAAAAGAAACGTTCGCAAGGTGCCGGCATGATGCAAGGAGGGAGGGTGGGCGGCCAGTACTTATTTAAGCTTCAGTCTGCGCAAGTATGCTGGTTCACTGCACAGGCGGCGGAGGGCGCGTGGGAGGCAGCGTACCTACCTAGTCGGTGGGCAGAAAAACGGACTCGTGGTCGGGACTTGACATGGAGCTTGGGAAACGCCAGGATCCCTAGGTGACGGCCCCGGTGCCTGGATCATGCACAAACGGACGGAACACACGCACTCGACTAACTACTTGGGTCGGTTGACGGCGGGACATTGGGAGGCGATGCTGCGTACTGTGTAAGATCTGCCGTCAACTTGGCCACTGCACTGGCCCCAAAGCGTCGGACAGTTCTAGCTCTCTCTCTCTTTTGCTTT